AACAAAACGCTCCTGCTCAGATTCGTGTTCATGTTCTCATTTCACAGTTTTCATAGTTAGTCTTAGCGGTTCCCAGTTTAGTTTCTAGTTTAGTTTTGCCCCAGTTCCCCTTGCCTTTGTTTTGTGGCTTTATTTCCTTTCAGCCAAATAAACGACACGTGTTTTGTTATATGTTAGTCTTCTGCTTTTGGGTTCTTTTGGGTCCACTCTGTAAACACACCGGCTATCCTGGCCGTGACAATGACGAGGTCATGGTGATTTTGCTTTTAAGTCTTTAGCTTGAAACAATGCTTTGATTTGCAAATTTCATGATATGATTGTTTAAATTTGTCTTCCATGATGTTACAATTTTAATACATTTAAACTTTTAATTAAAAGCAAATAAAAAATGAAAATAGTTAGTAGTATTTTTGTAGTGTCTAAATTTGAGAAGAAAGACCTCTTTTTTATGACAAATTTCATCTTTAAAATTTTATTCAGTTCATTTGGATAACTCAGAGTTTTTTATTAAACAGAGTAGGGAACAGTTTTAATCAAAGAGCGCCCTGGCCAAACACCAGTGACTATCAAAATCTATTTAATGTGGTCGCTTAAGAAATTTATTGGCTGACTGACAGATGGTGAACATAATGAATGAGCAGCTAAAGAGGCCAATATTTCTCTTTTGGGTTAACATTTGCTGGGTGGCCACTACCAAGAGTATCAGTGAAGAATTGCTTATTGTCTATTATTCTGTAAAGTAGCTTAAAAATGTTGAAGGATTTTTATTTTAGAAGACAGGATCCAGGTACACAGATATTACTATTATTATTATACTATTATTACTATATTGCAGATATTACTACTGTTTATAACTCCCTCAACCTCTCACTACAGACATACAAAATAGATAATGCATACCTTTGAAACAGCTTGTTCTCCATGACGGTGATGTTTTGTGTAAATCCCCCCTTGGAGTGACTGATCCTGGCATCACAACTGAGCTTCTTTGGCTTGTAGCAGAACCACTGCTGACCTGTATGCAGGTCAGTGTAGTTGCACATAGGCTGCCGGGATGGACGCAAACATACATTACAGGTGGTAGTTTCACTGACAATCCCCGAGCGGAACTGGCTTTCGAAAAAAACTCTATCCGGCTGTTCTCTGGTGAGTCTGCCCAGCACTGTGACTGCCTCACTGGGGTGAACCAGTATTACCTGGTAGGAAAGAGAATCAGTTTGTCAGTTCAGATAAATTTTTATCAAGGTGGACATACAATCTTTCTGGTTCATTTGAGGTAGTAGCAGTAAAGACCAACAAAGTCTACTTTGAGATTTTGAGGATGAAATGGTGGAGTGAATCATATATAGTAGATGAACATTCAGTAAAAATGATAATAGTGAGTTTGACTTGTCACCTGCCAACCAAGACAATATATGCTATTGTCTTGGTAGATAGAAACGGGGCTGAACCAAATGGCAAAGTCTCGGGCTGAAGAATGGTCTGACCAGTTTAACTTCTATCATTTTTGAAAGATAGTTTAAACCTTCATTAAAAATGTACTACTCATCCATTTGGCATTTGGATATTAGTAACATTTTAATGCTCAGGATGTGGCTGCTGATATGATCAATGCCAGATTGTTGCAGTGTGGTAGTGTAGTTTTGCTCCTCTTGTTTTCTGTTTTGGCTTTGCAGTTTGGATCAGTGTTAATTTTTTGTACAGATATTTCAAGTCTTTGTTGACTGCAGCTTGAATCAAGGCCCGAAACTTTGCCTTGACAGATTTGATACTTCATTAGATCTGTCAGGTCTTTCTTGATTCTTTCCTATTTCTTAATTACATGACTTTCAGATACCATTCATCTGCTAGAGATAGGGTTTTTGTTTCACTCCAGTGTCATCAAAATTATAAGGACATACTGCATGTTGAGGGATGCAAAACTAACAGCTAACAGTTCTCAAGGTGCAAAAATACAAATACAATACTAATACAAAAAAGTTCCTAAAGATATAGGCATTAGGTATATTTACTGCATCTGCAGCTTCATCTGAGACCTTGTGGAAGAGATACAACCCTAGGAGCACTGTAGGTAGTGTCAAACTCTCATACCAAAATGTAGAATTACTGAATTACTAAATAGGATTAGTTTTGTGAAGGTGGGGCTGGGCGACAAAACAATAAAAATAATTATTGCAAAAAATAACTTTTTGACATGAATATGTGACATGAGTAATATAAAGTCAACCAAACTAATTTCATCTATGCTTTGACAAACACAATGACAATGAGAGTACTGCCACATCAACCCAGTCATGTAGCAGAAATAGACTAACAGCTATGTAATGTTAGGTGACGCATGCAGTGTGAGCAGCCAGCAGCAGCATATGTGCTAATGCTTGTGCTACAACAGCTGTGCATGCCAACATGTGAGCACATTAGAAGCGAAAGTGAGATAAAAGATGAAATGGCAACAGAAAATGTTGAGGAAAACTCAAGTGACAGCATTACAGATGATGACAGCCCAACAGATATAGCCCAAGGATGAAGAAAACTATATTGTTGAAAAGAGGAGCATGGTCACAAAAGGCCAAGATGGCAAGAGAGCAAAGAGGTGGACCCAAAAGCAGACTCAAACAAAAATATTTCACATGAAAGCAAGGTTTTATTTAATCATTCCTAAAGAGACACCCAGCCCTATGTGGAGATGAAGAGTTTGTCCAGTAGGATTAGGAGTTTAAAGTTTTAAATCAAACGGGTGATGTTGAATGTTGCCCAACAAGTTGGATGTCAGAAGAGAAAGGAATTTCTGGGGAAAACTGGATGAAATAGTAGACAAGCGAGTAGACGAGAGAGGGTTTTAATGCAAATAATTTATGAAGTGCCATTACAGGTAGGCAACTTTAACAAAATCTTGAGTTGAGGAGGTGATTTGTGATAGGAGGATGCAAGGAATAGGGTGAGAAGGAAGCAGATAATTTGCTGTGCCAATCCCCAAAGGAAGCAGCTCGAAGAGGAAAAAGGGGAGACAAAGAAAAAACACGTGTTCTAGTCTAATGTGTTTTTCAGCACAGCATTACTCAGAGACAGAGGAATGCATCATTTTATATTATGTAGATGAAGAAATGTATTCCTTCATTTGTTTAATTTTGAAAAAAAGATGGGAATTTGAAAAAAAATCACAAATCTACCACAGTTACAATCGCATTAAACGTGATTAAATTTAGTATTACCTCAACCTGTGCACTTCCTTCCCAGAGTAAAGAGAATACAGCAGAGTAGGAGCCATTGAGATGATCCACTACTTTCCCTGCTACACCTGCACCAAGAGTTGGGTTGTGTAGGCGAGCGACTATGACGTCTCCCCCACAGTTCTTTGGACAGCCCTGGAAATCATACATTTTAATAATAACCTCCATCTTATCCCCTATTTGCCACTGTCCTCCTCCCATCCTATCGAGAATGGTGAAGGTGCTGTGGGCTGGGTCACTGGACTTTCTCAGGGAAAGAGATTGTAAAGGTGGAGTGTCAGGCCAAGCAATGGACTGTAGCAAGAGGTCTTCTTCAAAGGCTTCCTTAGGGGAGAGTGGTTTTAGCTTGCAGAAGTTGTACCACACGCCAGCAGGTGGAGTAACATCGGAAATGGTGGGTGGATGGATGATTTTGGTGTTGTTCACTTTATTGTGAAACTTCTGGCAGTGAACAAAAATGCATCAGATAAACGTTGTTGACATTGTGTAATGAAAATTTCATCCTGAGAGGGGACTAATGTTGGCACTGATGTTTTGATAGTAGTAGTATCAGTTTATTGAAAATCCTGCAAAAAAAATCAGCTAAAACGAAAAACTTCTCAACCTCTGAAATACAAACTCCGCACTTTAATTTTTGTCTTTGTCTTTTGCTAACAGGAAGCATAGTTTGAGCTCTTCATAGTTTTATTTACTTTACTTTTTTTGTTTACAATTAATTCAAGCACACAATGAAAGGAAACTTATGTCTGAAAGATGAAAGCGTCTATGTAGTGGGGTTGCTGTCTTTTTCTTATCGTTCTTCTATTTTCTCACTCCTTTAAAAATAGCAACTTTCTAGCTGCACTGACCTGGGCACATAGACGCAGCTGGGTAACACACACTCATCTTAATCTGCATATGTATGTGTCCCATTCCCATGTCTTGTCTTATATAAATACATACAAAACAAATCCTTACCTCCAGAATGTCCGTGATTAGGACAAACACAGCCAGCACAAGTAAGATGCAGCCACACGTTTTTAGCTGGATTGGGACAAAAAAGTTTTGAACCCTCATGATAAGCAAACAGCCCTTATCTCCAATTGTAGCACAGGACTGTCCACAGTTCCAATGGTACTGAATTTCAGGTAAAAGAAAACATGGGTGTGGTTGTAAGGTCTAAACTGACTACGTGTACTGTCTTTCCCTCTTCACACTGTGCAGTAGAGGAACCGGTGTTCCAGATTAACTGCCATCACGAATTAACTGGTGACGGTCAAACAGATGTGTGATAGACTTGCATTTTATATTGTTGTTAACAGTGGCGGAGCGGGGGGTGGCTTACTGGGCTTAAGCCCAGGTTGTTTTTTCAGAAGCCTGGGGTCTTTTGTAGTGTAATTTTTTCAAAGTTAGATGCCTGGCTGACAACTGTATAAAACAAAAAACTACACACAATATTAGAAGCACCTAGTGCACACTGTGGGAATTTACGACTGTGCGTAAATCCCCCCTAATATTGGTATGATCCGAGCTCAGACACTGAGCGAGGGGGCGGGAGGAGCTGCTGCCTACCAGTGTGCTGTTAGAGAAACACAGCCAGGCAGACAGAGGAGAACTGAAGTTTGACCAGGTACCAAAGCAAATAATTCGACCTGTACAAATAATGTAAATATGACGGTGTATCACGAAAGATTGATATATATGGTTTCAACTGTATATTTGATGATGTTGGTGTGTGGCTTGATTGTCAGCACAAAGAGGGAGAGAGAGGAGAATAAGGACAGAACAGAGATGGAACAAGAGCAGGTGAGACACACATGTTAGTCAAATGGTCGTTTACCAAAAGTATCACCGTATCATATGTACTCATGTATCTCGTACCTAGTGTTTCTTTTTAGGTTTGTTATTTTTCAAATTCTATATTTATTAAGTTATGCAGGCTTGTTTGCACAACAAGGCTAAATAATTATATAAACTTTTCTCAATCTAAATAGTGTACTTTGGTAGAATTAAAAAATAAGTGTAGTGCAGGTCTATTATGATTTTGAGTGTTTTGATTCTGGTTCTGTCTTGGTTAAGTCCTAAGTAGTCCTGATTTTGAACTGTTGTAGTCCTGTTTTAATTCCGGATCAGTTCTGGGTTTGGTTGAATTGGGGTTTAGTCCTCGTGTCTTGATACAGCCCCGACTTTGTTCTGCCTTGCTGCTTAATTAAAAAACTAGTTTAAGGTGTCCTGCAGATGTGATATATATTTTTCCCTATATGAAGTCATTCTTTTTTGAACAAAACTCAAAACAGAGCCTACTCTTTCAGTCACTTCTAACAGACATGACAGAGATTTTCATTTAGATGTTTCTGAATCAAAATTTGGAGTGAACGGAGTTTTGTTTCAGAAAAAAGGGGGAAGGTACATACAAGGACACACAGAAATAGAAAACGTATTAACCCTACTAACACACACACGTAATGAAGCTCATTAGGATCAAACACGATTTTAAGTAGGCAATACTGTTACCATCATCCTGTCTGAGAAGGGATACATAGACAACTGAATTAGTATTATTTTGGGGAATATGATTGCAGGGGTGAACAGAATCCTGCAGCCAGAGTTTAAATGAGTGAAACTAGCAGACTTTTAGTTTTTTGTTTTGTTTTTTGTTTCTGATGTATGGGGAAGGTTTTACCGTGGCACACACCTGGGGACAAAGGAAGAAAAGTGATCATTTCAAAGAATATTGCGTTTGTGTGAAGCGTGTGGGTTGGTTGATGAAAGTTTTGGGGATTTAATTGGCATTTTTCTTTTTTCCACCAAGTTTTAGGTTTGGTGTATTTTCACTTTTTAGAGAAAGAATATTCTCGGACAAGTCCTAAGACCGGGCTTTTGTATTTTTATTTTTCATTTTGATCTGTTGTTTTTATTTTTATTTTATTTTTTTGGTTTTTGAACAGTGCACTAACTTGTTTGTGAATTTCTTTTCTTTAAGCAGATCTGCACGATGGGAATTAAAAGCGCTATACGACATGTCGAGAAAATCGTTGCAAGTGAGTTTCTCCAAAATTACAATGGCCTCGGGAGAAAGCCACTTATTTGGGACAATGAGAGTCCCTGTCAAAAAGGATTCAGCGAGGTAATCCGAAGTTCTTCTTTTTCTTTTTGAAATGACGTCATTTTGCAGAGGGTGGAAATGAAATGCGACGATAGTTTCCACTATCAGCAAAGAAAGAATGGATGAATGATTGCATGAATGATTGAGTGAAAAAACAAACTGACTGACTGGTAAAAGCTGACAAAAGCTCACAAGACCTGACTGATTTGACACCAGTTTAAGTTTAAGTTTGCACCTCCACCTAGGCATGACAAAGGGTGGATGAATATAAGTGTGTTTCTTTTTACAGGAGCAGAAAGATGACACCAACATCGTAGGTTGCATGAACGTTGGGCCGTGCCGATTTAACTTTTAAATGTCACTTTCTGTGTTTGTGAATCTACTAGGGGTGTGTGATTCATAGGCTTGTGTTGCTCACAGAAGTTACTGTGAGAAAGTGTGTATACACCTGCACAGCACTAACATCTACATTCTCTTTTCTACAGCATTACAGTTCTTCAGGTGATTTGATATGTGTTATAGCAGGACACACTAATGGTTAATGTTTTTTCTACCACAGGATTACTGGGTTTATGAGTGAAGGGAACTGTGTTTACAGGCTGTGTGTTGATTATGCTATTATGCTGTGTTCTTGGGAAAATGTTGAATATCACAGGGGAGAAGTGAATATAGTGGGAGATACATCCTGTGTTGAAACCAGTGTCATTCTTTTTACAGCAGCAGGGTTAACTTTATGACCTTTTGCAGCACCTCTGGAACCTGTCGACCTGCGCCTGACCACCAGGATTGTCAATGTATGTTGCTAATGTTTGTGTTTTTTTAAGAGTGCATGTAGAGGATTCAGCAGAGACAGACAAGTGACATGAGATAACAAATAAGAGATGCAGTTTATGGAATAGTTTAATATTGGGTTTATTAGCTGACCACTATAAAGCTCATAGTGATAAATGAGTGGAGTGACATTGCTTAAGGAAAGTCACTGATTACAATGTGGAATAAATTGGGATGATTCATGATTTGGGGCAAATTATGGCAATAATTGTAGTTTAATTATTTGAGAAAACCTGCACATGATACTTGTCTTTGATGCTGAATACTTTATTGCTCTTATGATCTACAGTTGGTTGCGAATGTGAAGTTTGATTTAACAGATTTGTCTTCCAGGATACAGGCTCCAGGTGGAGCTGGGAGTTAAACAAGCTTAACATTTAACCACTGGCTAATGTTTTCTTATGAAATGGTTACAGGCTGGGAGTAGAATTAGTCCAAGGGAGAAGCCCTGGGAATCTTTTGAGAGAATGTGCAACTTTTTTGTGCATCTCTAATTGTGTGGAGTTGACGCATGGCGAGGTCCATGTGCCAAAAGAGG